CCGGAGTGTCCGCCGGGCCTCGTCTCAGGATTATGGGGTAAAAAGCCGCTGCCGCTGAGCATGGGGGCTCCCCGGGGCTGAGGGCGGACGAGCCCAGGCGCCGTGAAAGCGTGTGGAGCTCCCGGAGGGCGGTTCCGGGCGGCGGGCTGTACGGTGCGCTTCTCGTGCAGCTATAGGCCTTGGCCGTGAACGTCTTCGGGGTGTTTCATCCCTTTACGTGCCCATCTGTGAAACCAAATGCGTGCGCTTGTGCGTTGTACCCTCGCCGCCCCAGGAGTAGCGGTGGATGCCTCCCAGCGTGTCAAGTTCATGGTCCTGTATTGCTGGGAAATAGCTGAAAGTAAAATGGGAAAGGACAGAGGTGTATTTTCCTAGGAGACAAAGAACAGAAGTTTCAGTGTGTTTTTTTGACACAACATTAAACTTTGGTTGTTTTTCACAGTAATTCATCTTTTCTTGATAGCAGTGCTAGTTGGCTGGTGTGTCTAAAATGTTTAAGCTTGTATAAGCTTATACTTTGTTATCACAGAGTGAGTGAGGGCGTTCTGAATTAATTCTGCATTGTCTTGAGGATTTACTATGTCAGTGATGAAGGGCAGCATGATCAAATATTTGATCTAAAATTGGGAGTACGTTTTGAATAATGTACAGTGATTTTTAAAAACTTCTTACTCTCATCTTCTTGCTAATGTTATATAAAACAAGGGCTTGGTATTAAAAAAAGGGTTGTAGGCTGAATTTTTTATTTTAAAGAATCTTCTTTTTGGGTTAAGGAAGAATCTTATTGAAGTAAGGTTCATACATTTCACCAGAGAAGTAGTCTTTAAGAGAGTATATAAAATAACTTGCTCCAATGAGCATCATGTTGTCGATCTCTGTGTTAGCTTCCTTCTCTCATGTTTACTTGCTGTCTGACTCACTGGACAGCGCGTGCCTTGAAGTTGTTATGATACATTATACTTCTGCGGGTGTCATAATAGCTGTCTGCAATACAGGGTGTCCAGATGAAATCATACTGGAGTGAGCAGCTGGAACAACAGCGCAGAGAGCTGCCGTCTGCAACTGGAATGAGGTTGTGAGGGAACAGAAATTACCAGTCTGTATCTGCACAAATAACTGTTCTGCAGAGGTTCAGATTACCCCTCTCTCTTCACAGAGACCTTTTCTTTTCCATGCTACAAAAAAGCTGGTGCTTAGTTGGTAAAAGTAGTACTAGTAGAGGCATTATTGCTATATTATTAGGTAGAGTTAGTGCTCTGTATAAGTGTGTTCTTGTTACAGGAGCTGTTATTGTTTGCTGGGTTTGGATAGTTACCTTCATAATGGATTCTTAGAGCTTCAGGAAGATACAGAATCACAGAGTGGTTGAGGTTGGCAGGGATCCCTGAAGGTCCAACCCCCTTGCTCAAGGAGGGCCACCCCAAGCTGGTTGCCCAGGACCATGTCCAGATAACTGTTGAATATCTCCAAGGAAGGAGGCTCCACAGCGTCCCTGGACAGCCTGTGCCAGTGATCAGTCACACTCACGCCAAAGAAGTGTTTCCTCAGACAGCATCTCCTGCATTTCAGAGTGTGCCTGTGGCCTCTGGTCCTCTCACTGGGCACCACTGAGAAGAGCCTGGCTCTGTCTTCTTTGTACCCACCCTTCAGGTATTTATATACATTGATGAGATCCCTCCTGAGCCTTTTCTTCTCTTGGCTGAAGAGTCCCAGCTCTCTCAGCCTTTTCTCATAGGAGAGATGCTCCAGTCCCTTCATCATCTTAGTGGCCCTTCATTGTGTTCTCTCCAGTATGTCAGTGTCTCTCTTGTAGTGAGGAGCCCGGCACTGGACAGAACATTCCAGCTGTGGCCTCACCAGTGCTGAATAGAGGGAAGGATAAGCTCCCTCGACCTGCAGCCGAGGATACCACTAGGCCCTTTGCCACAAGGGCACGTTGCTGGCTTATGTTCATCCTCGTGCCACAAGGGCACGTTGCTGGTTTATGTCCATCCTGATGTCTGCCAGGACCCCTAGGGCCTTTTCTGCAAAGCTGTACCGTCGCATGGGCTTGTTCCTCTCTTGGGGGCAGGACTTTGCGCTTCCCGTTGTTGAAGTTTGTGCGGTTCCTGTTGGCCCCTTTCTCCAGGCTGTTGGGGTCCCTCTGGCGTATCAGCCGCTGATCCCAGTTTGGTGTCGTCAGCACACTGGCTGAGGATACGCTCTGACATATCATCCAGATCATTAATGAAGATGTTCAACAGGACTGGACACGGTACTGGCCCCTGGGGTACACCGCTAGGTACTGACCTCCAGCTAGATGTTGTGCCACTGAGCACCACCCTCTGAGCCCAGCCACTCACTGACTGATCATTCAGCCTATGCTTCATCACCTTCTCTGAGGGTCTTGTGGGAGACAATGTCAAAAGCCTTACTGAAGTCCAGGTGGAGAATATCCACTGCTCTCTCCCTGTCTACCCAACTAGTCTCGTTGTAGAATGTTGTCAAGCATTGACAACATTGTAATTTAAAAAAAAAAACAAACAAAACTGAGAAGACTGTCGTCAACAACCCATACAGTGTGGCTAAAGGCTCTCACAGTAATGGTGCCCACACAATGGCCCTGTTTTTTCCAGAAGTAGTTGAGTTTAAAGCATTGAATGAAGCAGGCTAATCGGGTAAAGTTCAACAAATACTGAGCTTGACGTAGTCTGGTGTAGAACTGAGACTTGCTACAGTCAGTGGTTTCTGCTCAGCAGAAACAAAGCTCGTGCTATAGAAGCAAATCTTTATCAAGTATTTTTTAGCAGAAGTGTGGCTGGTGTATGTACAATTGTACACGTGATTGCAGAGCTGTAAGGTGCTGAAGAGCATCAAGTTGAGAAAGATTTGAAATTCCTTTGTAGCCAGATTAAATGATGGCCAGGGTAGATTTAAAAACAAAAAACCAAAAACATCAGCCAGTTTTTTATCAATTTCATTTTTTATTTAAAACAAAGCTTACTGTTTGCACTCTTATTTGCATTTGTACTTGTTCAGGAGATAAAAATTTTTTCAGAAAATTTTAATGGCTATTTGCAATCAAAATACTGCGTTCTGATAGGACTGTGTCTTGCTGGAATCGATCTAGACATAAGAAAAAAAATTTTGTTTAGTTTTTTATGAATTTCATTTTTTTATTTAAAACAAGACTTACTGTTTGCTGTTTGTACTCTTATTTGCATTTGTACTTGTTCAGGAGATAAAAATTTTTTCAGAAAATTTTAATGGCTATTTGCAATCAAAATACTGCGTTCTGATAGGACTGTGTTTGTCTTGCTGGGATCTAGACATAAGAAAAAAAATTTTGTTTAGCTTAAAACTTTATCTTGTTTTAAGAAAAATCTGTTGGTTTGTAGGGTTTTTTTAAGTATATATGTAACATCAAGTGCCAAAGTTGGAAATAGCAGTTATAGAAAGTTAAAGTTGACTGTTTCTAACAGTGTTGTTCCTTCTTGCCTTTAACCTCTTTAACCTCTTCTGGATTTATTCTGGTAACACTGTAAGACAAATAGTCTAGACTGTAGTGGATGTGCAAGATGCTACTGACACCAAATTTTTACTTTAAATTGCTAATTCACCTATGCAGTTGTACAAGAGACTGTTTGTTCCATTCTTGGGTATCATAAAAGCTTGTTCTGAATCAACTTTTTTGAAAGTTCTACTAGAATGACCTCAGCTTTGTGCACTCAGTGTGCTATTTTGAGTTTATTTTCATGTTTTATTATGCTGCTGGGCAGCTAATGCTTTTAACAAGGTTCTTACATCCGTGTCTCTCTTTCTGTTTGTACCAGTACATGGTAACTCTGTCAGCTTCTGGCTATCCCAATAATGAAAACAGAAGCTAAGGATGGAGAAGAGGAAAGCCTGCAGACAGCATTCAAAAAGCTAAGAGTTGACACAGCTGGGTGAGTAACACCGCAGGGAGGTACAGACTTATATATTACAAATAGACTTGAAGGGAACACCCTTGCTGTTAAATTTGAAGGAATGAGGTAATTCCGAAAGGTTAGGCACTGAAAGCCTTGATGCTAGTTAAACTGAAATTCACTACCTATAGACTGCACTTCTCAAGGAATTGTCATTTGTTTGATTGCTACCCAACAGGCTTGAAACAAACCTAACAATAGTCAGCAGTTGAAAGGAGATTTCATGCTTGAAGTGAATTTTGGCATGAATCTGGCTGCCAGAGGTTATGTCCATAGCACTAGAACTCTACTATTGAAGTTAGTGTATTGTCATGACTCTGAAGGCCTGTCATGAGAATAAACTCTTAGCTTTTCCCAGGAGAGGAACGTTCTTTCCATGTCTGTAAAGGAGAGCATTAGATTCAGTGCATGATTCCCACACAAACTATTTTTATTGATGTCACTTACAAATTTCCTATTTATAACCAAAATCACTAAATGGGAAAGAATGCTTTTTGTGTTGCCTTGTTTTGTGGAAGATCTGACATGTGGCACTTACCCTCCCTGTCCCAGGTAGCAGAACACAAGCAGCATGTGTCTTCTGTTGGTGACAATCATTCTTATCTGAAGTGGGGAAAAAAAAAGCTTCTATAGAATGTTTTTCCTGTTGACAAATGTGCACCATTACATACTACTATTATAGTACTGTGTTTCAGTAAGCTGTTGTCAGTGATGCAATTATCCCAGTGACTGAAACAGAAGTGTAGGCAAGGCAGTATATAAATACCAAGGTGGTAAGTAGAATTACCATAGAATTTAGACGGTGAGTAGATGGACTTCTAAAGTTATCTTTCATTTAAGTAATTAAACTTGTTAGAAACGTATCACCACCCAAGTGCCTCTCATTTCTTCAGTACCTCTAGTCCACCCTCAAGTCACGCATACTTAATTACTTTGTTTTTACTGTTTGCCTTTGATTTACTGCTCTGTGTTCATTGTTCTTTAAATGGAAGATAGCAGGTATTTGACTAATAGTTTAGCCTGTAAATATCAGTTAAAGCTGTCCTAGAACGGCGTGTGGAGACTTACTTTCACTTTTCAGGGAATCGGCCCTATTTACAAACCAATGTGATACAGGATTTAGAAAATCTCCTTGTGAATTCCAGTGCAATATGTGAACTCACAACTTGGAAAAATTGTTCTTGGGATTATCACAGCTCCTTGAGAGTGGGAGTTTGGGATAAATTTATAGCATCGGAAAAGTTGATACATCTTCCAAGGTCCCTGGTTTGAATAGAAGATGAATATCTGACACAACTCTGTTGTGATTGAACTTGCAATAGTATGAAGAGTTTTAGCTGATGTTGTCTTAGACAGAGGCTTAAGTGTTCTTCAGTTAAACAAAGTCTATTTATGTCCAAAGAACATTTATTTTTAGGAAAGAATGGCTCATTTGTCTCTGGAAAAAGAGACGTGTTTCTTCAGTGATGGTGTTTTTCCCCTCCCCTCTCCTGGGAAACTGAAATTTAGCCATTGTGTGTGCTTCGTCATTGATGTGTGGAGTTTGGATTTGCAGTCTAGCTGCTGAATGGCATCGTGTTTGGTGAAAGAGTCTGTTATACAAACTTTTGAGATAGGAACATGTAAGCACTATTTTTCTGATTGGGGTCTTTGTGGGCAGGTCTTTTAAGACATACTGTAAATGATTTGTGGCAATCTTTTCTGGGAAAGAAGATTCATAAGCTTTTTCATATTCATAATGTTAACCAGTCTAGGCTGTTATCTTTTCATTTTCTCTTTCACAGATCTACTGCTTCTCTCCCTGTGGGTGAAGGGACAAGTCCTAGAGCACTAGTTAGAACAGTGGCAGATGAAACCAAACCTAAGAATGTGTGTACTTCTAAAGAAACCTGGCACGGGTAAGAGAAGCTTGGGGTTATCAGATGACTTCAAATGATACTGCATTGAAAGGGAATTTTAAATAGACAAGTTTTCTGGTAACTACACCCCTACAGAAGGGAACCAAGTTTTCTTTACTAAAGAGGCTGTTTAAAACACTCCACACAACATTTTTATCTTCATAGGTAACTACTGTTCTTATTTACAGTTACATAAAGTGAAAGGAAATGCAGTTCAGCTGTAGGTTACTAAACATTATAGATGTTTCTTAACATAAATGTGAACTGCTGTTTTTGAATTGGACAATCATGAATACACCTCTTTCAATAACTGTTTGACATTGTAGAAGCTGTCAGTATGCCTTGGGAACTAGACTAAAATAAAGAATTGGTTTCTGGAGTGTCTATGCAGGACTTTACAAATCTACTGAAACAAAACTACTCTTTAGCCTGGATTCATTAGTTTTGTGCTGTCTTCTGCTTTGTCTTTCTCTCAGAGGTTACTTTCTCGTCTCACATGCTTTACTCACTTTCTAATCTTAAAAGCACATGCTTTAGGTTTTGCTTCTCACACATTCCTTTTATACAGCTGCTTGACTAGAACAAAGTCAAATTCCGAGACAGCAAAATACTCCGAGCTTAAAGCTCTTGCATGCGATATAAATGCAGTAGGGATTTTGCCCAATGTTATTTGTAATCCAGTGATAAGTCTTTTAGTGAATCTTCACTCCCTCTTGTGTCTTTCCTTGGTAGGTGTATGAAGAAGCCCTCAAGAGGAGTTGTGAGAACACAGCGTCGCAGGCGTTCCAAGTCTCCAGTTCTTCATCCTCCAAAGTTTATCCATTGCAGCACAAAATCCCATTCCATGTGCAACCAGCTAGTGCACAAGAGCCAGACTGATGCCCCAGAAGACAGCACTGGGTTTGGGATGCCAGTCCCAAAGGAGGCTTGTGCACACGAACGATGCAGCGTTGCTCCTGATGTTGGCCAGAAGGGAGCTGATACTGAGTCTTTGGGAACTTCTGTTACGCAGTCAGAGTCCGAGAACAAACAGGAGAGCTCCCCAGCTGCTGTTTCTGTACTATCCAAAGCAAGCCTAAAGACTACGGAGCTTTCTGACTTTCAATCTATGTCCAAGCTGAACATGAATAAGCCGTGTGCGTGTGCAGATAAAGCCTGTCAGTGTAAACGATGGCAAGATATGGAAGTGTACAAATTCTCTGGCTTGCAGAACACCCTCCCGTTGGCACCTAATAGAAGAACAGTTTCTGAGGATCACTCCCAGTCTTTGCCATCAAGAACTCCTTCAAGTTCTCCACGCTCTTGCTCTGAGCAAGCCAGGGCCTTTGTGGATGATGTGACTATTGAAGATCTTTCGGGATACATGGAATATTACTTGTATATTCCAAAGAAAATGTCTCACATGGCAGAAATGATGTACACCTGACGGCAACGAGTGCTAAAAACAGGAGGGTGGGTGGTTTAAATCTGCCCTCTGTCGCATTCATGTGAGATGCAATCCTCTCCCTGCTCACTGTGCTTGCAATAAAAACACCTTTTTGCATTTTAGCTAGCGTTCATTAGTTAAGCTGGACAAACAGTTTAGCTTAAGCATTTTAGTTTAAGCTTGGAATAGATAATGAAGTAAACACAGCAAACATGTTTAGAGTGTAGCTGCGTATACTGAGGTCACCTTACACTTGGGAAATTCTGCTTCATTTTCAAAATCCTCCTGTTTTGGTTTGTTGGAAGAGTCTGTAAATTGCTTGGTGATTAGAGCTATTATTGTGAGAAATTTCATGTAATTTGGCTTCTTTGAAATGGCTTTGATCTCAGGCTGTAACACGCTTGTGTTTTTGGATGCTTGTGCCTTTGATTTTATAAAGAAGTGTGACTGTCTCCTCTTCTTGGTACTATTGCTACTCTAGGCAAATTCAGGAGGCAGAGCCATCTTTTCTTGGGTGGAGGTAGTGTTGTTTCTTTGTGCCTAAAGAGGCTTTATTTCTGATCAGATGAGCAGGCATCCTTCTTCCCTGTCTTTGATGTTAATGTAGTCAGGTGCCAATAGGTTAAAGTAACGTTGGCTTATTAGGTTGCCTGATTAGACAAGAAACTTGGAAGATCAAAACAAGGCTGTTTTAAGAGGTTATTCTAATCTCTGTTGTGTTTAGTGGAAACTGTAAAGCAACCGTAACTTTTTGTTGAGTGTCCAGTGGGCCTTAGACTTGCCTGCAGCAGCAGGAATACCCTGCTTTATTCAGGGGGTTGCTTCTCCGGTTAACCGAAGGAGGAATGAGGTGGTGGACTCTCTTCAGTGTATTTTTATGAAGGCTGAAACAGCCTTCAGTGGTTCTAATTCCTGCACTGTATTTTCTGTGTTGTTCAGCCTACTGTCTAACACCAAGTATAAGTATTCTTCAAGTATTGATATTTGTGGGCTTGAGTGAACAGCTGTCAGCTGCACAGTGGGGAAATCTTCTTTCCTCTCCAGTCTTTTTACTAAACCACTGTCACTTGGAGCTTTGCATTCTTCCTGAAATTTACTTCTTCAGAAACAACCATACATTGTGTGCATCAGCACAGTCTGTCTTTTATGTGTATAGCAAAGGAGCATCCCATCAGGTAATATGATTTGTTGAGGGTGACATGAGTTGTGTTAAGTTTGTCTTTACTATTTGCAGTACCCAAACTTTTCTGACCTCTAAGGTCTGGAGAAGAAATGGAGACTAACATTTCCCTGGTTTTGTGGGGTTTTTTGTAATTTCTGTGGCAGTATCTACTGTCTTAGAACTAAGTGGCCATGCAAGTTTTCCTCTTCTGCTAGTTCTGAAGTGTCATCTACCCCTTGCAGAGTGTACTTGCGCCCCACATCTCCCATTTCCCTGCTATTAAATAGCTGTATTTCTGCATTCTGAATTCAAGGCAATTATTTGGTGACTATTGTCTGCAATACTGGGCTGCAAAGTGCAGAATGACCTTAATTCTCAAATAAACATTCTTTACTGTTCCCAAATGTTTGCAAGCAGCAGCCACAGCACCGTCGTGGGGCTGAGCACACCTTTCAATATGGTGCTGCTTTTTTGTTAGTCACCACAGACCTGTACCTGCAGGGTTTAGGATTGCAACGTCAATAGACGGTGGGTTGAAATCCAAGAGGTAATGTAAAAAAAAAAAAAGTAGAAAGATGCAAATTGGTGTGGACTGGGAAGAGAGGCGGTGTGAGCTGGTACAGACTGGGAAGGGAGGCAAGCAGCGCTGGGCCACTAGAGGTCACCCCCAGGCCGGGGGCGGGCGGGTGCAGTGGGCTCCTCCGCACCTCCTCAGCCTTCGGGGAGAACGTGACTTTTTCTACCAAAATGAAGAAATAAAACCAGCTCTGGGCGGTGCCTTAGTGTACACAGTGTTGGTGCTTTCTGAAGTGTGATTGCGGGTATGTTAGGCAGCAGTCAACCAAAGCTCTTTAAATGCCAACATCTGCATAAGTTGTTAACATTTAAACAAAGTGTACTATCAGTTTACAACTGTGCTGTGTAATTAGGAAGAGTTGCTGAGTAAATAATTATGTGGTCCTGAACTTGGCATCCTCTTAGGGTAGTTACAACATATTTGGGCTGGTAAATCCTGGAAATAAGACCCTGGGCAGCTGTAACTGCTGCCTTAACACTTTCCCTTCTGTTACTACAGGGTGTTTTAAGATGCTTTGGTCTACCCAGAAACCACAAAAAAACCCCTCTAGTTTTGCTCTGAGAAAATGTGAATTTCCAAATGTGAATTTGTGCAGAGAACTTTTAGACTACTCCGTTGCCCTTTCAAAGCTTAGCTTTAAAAAAAAAAAAAATCCAACTTGACCCAATTTCAAAATCTTGACTTTTTTTTAAAAAGAAGCAGCTGTAGAGGGCTAGTTCTGCCAAGTGGAGTTTGAGTTGTGTTGGAGTCCCTTACTGAAGTGCCTGTTCCTTCCTGTGGCTGAATAAGAGGCCTTTGGTAATCAACTTTATAGTGGGCAGCTGGTCCTTTGCACCTGTACCTGCAGGTATTTTGTAGTTTGTGCTATATATACATACTTAACTTTTCTTGCAGTTATATATTGTATGGCTTGTTTTCTATGCCTCTTCTTTGTTGAAACACCAATGAAGAGGTCGTCCAAGTTGTAAAACTGTTACGCCTGTCTGAAACTCGCTGTTATCTGTGACAGCTTTGCCCCAGGGCTCGGCAAGGGTCTCGGGAGCTTCTCTCGAAGGGCAAAGCACTGCTGATAGCATGGTCTCACCCCACAGCTCCTGCAGCTCCTCAGCAGCTCGTGATCAGTGAGGAGAAGGCCATCTCTTCGTGGTCCTGCTGTGAGGCTGTCTTTAGGAGATGGGGCAGGTGTGGCTGGGAGAAGGGGGGCTTAGATTAGGCTGGTGCCTGGTGTCTTGTTCCTTGTCCTCTCTCTGCCATCTGTAGCTGATGTGGATTAGTTTTATCAGCAAGGTGGGCTGTCCCTGCTGTCAGTGTGTCTGCAGCTGTCCTGGGGTGGGGGTCTCACCTTTCTTTTCCAAATGTGGTGGGAGTGGGTTGTGCTGCCAGCTGTGGCACGAGAGATGCTGGTGGTCGTTTGGAAGAGGGGGGAAGGACTCTCTGTGGATCCTTTCCACTACCCTGAAGCAGTGGGCAGGGAGTTCTGCCTGGCCCCTTGCCCCCCGCCCGCTCCGCCGCCGGTGCCAGCAGG